TAAATACAATACAGAAAATGTGCGTGTAATTCGAGGGATCCGTGCGGAAAACGGCATTTTCGGGAAGTTTTTAGGCCCCCCCCCCCCCCCCCCGTCTCCCTGCAAAATTGATCTCAGCTCAGGAGCGTTCAACTGACATGAAGCTTTCTGGATATGTTGGGACTGTTGTGAAAAAGCTATGGTAAAATTTTCAGCTCGATATCATGACGTTTGAAGGAGATACTGATCAAACAAGGGTCTAAAATAGCGAATTTGGCAACCCAAATTTCTCAGTCCCGGCCCATGTGATGTATTTAAATTTTTGCTTGTTTGAAAGAGCATGCTAGGATGCAGTGCATGTTGAGGCCCTCTTTTTTAGATACTTAGTTTTTAAGCACAAAGAAGGGTCCAAAAGTTCAATGACTCAAAGACATTCTCTAAAAACGGGCGCTAATTTATATAAATATCTATATATATAATAAGAAAAATGTCTAATTAAAACAACGAGCCTCGTCAAGTCGTGCATCTTGACATGCTTTTTCAAACAAAAGAAAATATTAAATGTATAGTATATGCTTAGACAGATAAATTTTGGATGCACGATCAGAAAACGAGGAACAACGAAAAAGATTTTTGATTTTTTGTAAAAACAGGTTATTTTTCGATTACGGGATGGCAAAAAATTTCACAAATTTTTGGAAAAAAGGAGATGCCGAGTAAAAATGTTAAGAAACTAGACACATTGATTTCAAGTTTAATGGTCGTAAAAACCCGAAAACCGCATCAATTCACTGATTTACCTCTCGTCAAAGTTTTTCATAAAGGACAATCATATTGTTTGGAAGAAACATGTCATTCACTCTTGGTGTTCCAGACGTGTTAAAGAAATATTTATAAAGAGAAATAGGTATAGATGCATCGGTCTCTCAAAGTGCTACTTGCTAGAAGTATTTGAGAACTTGATGTTTATGAATAAAAAGTTGGTAGTACTCTCAACCATGGATACATAAAACTAATCCATCCAATAGAACCATAATGAAGATATACAGGTTCTTTTCTGATCAATGAATTTTCGGGCACTCTGTACATATATCTCTGTTTGAATAAATTTTTGAACTATTAATTTAATATTTTGTTAGAAGATGAAGAAAAATTTTGTTGTCTTTCATGAAAATACTTCCGATTCCTATATTTTTGTAAGTTGAAATTGGATTATAATGGTGAATTTCGATTCTGATTCCAATTTCGATCCAGAATCGTCCATCCATAACGCCCACATCCACATCCCACTCCAAGATGGAGAAATTGTTATATGTATTGAATGTCAACAATGGTTTTGTGCACTACACTTCAGTGAACATCGACAAGAACTTGTGACAAAAATGGATAATATCGAGCAAGAACATGATCTACGTTAGCCAAATTTGATCGAAGAGTATACAGCACATCCTCTTCCACCTCGCATTATCATGTAAAAGATTGTATAGGTCGAAGAAGTCAACAAAATGTTCGTTTCTTCTCGATTTTCTCAATATTCAAACTGGTGAGAGCGAAAGAGAGTTAGAAGAAAGATCCCCATGTTTCCATTTGATAGCGTCGAGGCCCCGATGCATTGACGTTCATGTTTGTCAAGACAAAACACGCTATTAATATGCTCAATGAATTTTTTTAAAACCATCAGCATGCTGTAACCATGATTCACGGTGGTCGATCACAGACCAAACGTGAAAAAGCGTCCAAAGCATTCAAAATCGACCTTACACCGTTTCTTGTAACAACCATTATCGCTGTGAAATATGTCGACCCTTCGTAAGTGTTTATTTGTGTGGAAAAATTGCTTCTCTGTCTATCGATCGACTCTAGAAATACTACCATACATGTCATCATCTTTGATTTACTGTATGGGGGTAGGTGTTCATATCTTCGTTCACACCCACACCTCTTCCAACAAATAATCAATCGAGTCAATACTACAACGCTCCAAAATGAGTCATTGTCAAAGTACTCGTTTCCATATTAACGATTTTGCGCCGCTCTTTTAAGCCGCAATATAGAGGCTGAATAGGTCATTTTGTAGTTCATGAATAGTTTAATCGATTCCCCGAATACTTTTTTTGACATATCACAACTTTATTCGAACAAAATTTTTTCTTTATTCTTTGCTATTCGCGTTTTCAGAGTTTCCCATCAATCTTCATCACAATTTTAATTTTTTATGCTAAATGGAATATTATGACATAATTCAAATCAGTTAGTAAGTTAAAGGAAAACGCTTTCTCTATCATTTCAATACGAGCAGAATTTTGTAAAGTGTTTTTCTGCACGACTTGAGATTTATAACGAGAACGAACGATGTTTGCAACTTGTTTTTTTTAAGACGACTGATCACAGGAACCTCATAATTGTATCCTAGTATCTTCTGCTGAGCTCTAGCTCTAATAGAAAGAGTGCACTGAAGAACACAGAAAATTTTCATTAGAGTCAGGTCTCATCAGTAATGTCTTGAAAAAATGAAATCATTAATTTTCAATGTTTTCCTATTATTTATTAGTTATATGTTGTGTATGTGATTCACTGGAACAATCGGCTCCAGTTGGAAAAGTCCATTTCGATGTCATTGAGTAAGTGCTTTATTCTCAACTATTCTACAATAATCCATAAAATGTTCTGTGGTCTCTTGCTCTCTCTGCTATATAAAGAGAAGCAACAGATGCGTTAGGATGTGATTCATTTTTTTCCTTTCGCAGAACATCAACATAAGAATAGTTACTTTTGGCTTCTTACAGGTAATAAAAATGTGAAAGTTGCTGTTATTTTATAATAGATTCTTTCAATTTTCTAGAAATTCGTTTGTATCTTAAGACAGAATTGAATTAGTTAACGTACATAAAATTCGTTGTTTTTTTTTTAATACCTGTGAGAAAAAAACAAAGGTTATTTCCAAATTACACAGATTTACATATTAATGTGAACAAGTTCTAAATAGCATAGAGCAAACGTTTTATTGACAATAGGTAATAACTGACAACTTATGTGCTTCAAAACTAGTCAATACATTCTCATTTTTTTAGTATAATGAATAAATAAAGAAGAAAAAGCACCGACCACAATCACTTCCGAAACGAAAAGATTTTTTTTCTTTCTTTCTGTGACGTACCGTCTACTGCAAAGGTAGACAGCTATGTTACTTTTTTCTTCGAAAAGAAACATGCTTGATAGCTGTAACGTTATCATCGTTTAATTTTCAGTTTAGTGAGCCCAGTATTCTTAATTTATATCATAAGGGATGATATCTGCAGTAACATACAACCTCCGGCGGCAGAAAATTGATGAAAATAATTCATCTCTGTTCGAATCCGTACGGTATGCCAATGGAAATATGGATGCAATTGATAACAAACGCTTATTTTCACTGGTGGTTGATTATATAGGCAAAAATGAAAATTTACATTATTATGTCTTAGAACGTAATACAAGTTGTAAAACTATCAAAGATTATTGTATTAAAATTGAGAAAGGTAATTTACAAGGTGGCGAAGCCGAACTTCGAGCTTTGAGTATGTTATGCCGTTTATTAATTTGTATTGTTTCGATAAAAAAAACTCCAGAAGGAAGTATTAATATAAATTTTACTAATTATGGTGAACATGTAAAATCATTCCATGAATGTATATATTTACTCTATGATGAAGAAAATCAACATTATGATGCTTTATATGCGGTTAACATACAAAATCAAAATGAAAAAATCACAATTTTTAAACGTAATGATGAAGTCGTATTAAAACTTCTTGACAAATTTATTCGAGAAGAAATTCATTGTAAGAAAAACTATATAAATACGGAGCAAAAAAAAATATTTTTTACTTTATTTTCAGATGATGCTAATATAGAATCCGATAATAATAATCTAAATTGTTTAACTGAACTACCAACTGAGCCAAGACGTGAGCAAATCATCTTTGTTTTTTTCTTTCTGATATTTTTTTTGTTTTTTAGTTCTAAATGAAACCGAAAGAATAGAAAATTTGTTTCTACTAGAAGCTAGTTTAAACTCTTCAAATAAAAGAAAAACACCAGGTAGAGAAATACTAATCGTTTTTTCTTTTCTTTAAAATGAGTTACTGAAAAGATTGTAATGGTCTTCTTCGAGCTCAAACTACTGTAACAACATCATCGTCAACGTTCGAAATCAATAAAAATGATTGTGAGTTATAACCTAGGATGAAAAAAGCGAAATTCTTATATTCTGTGAAATAGTCGTAGACACTCGATATTTCTTTGTATATACGACTGTATTTTGATGTATTGCGTGGCTCATAATTACATCTATTGATGTGCGGCATTAATTTTAGTTCCGATTCTGGTCAACAAGACAGGGATTCAAGTTTTGGGAGTTTGCCGAAACCAAGAAAAAAATTTCTGAGAACACAAGAAAAAGAAGTTGCTGAGACTGGAATCCGAACTACAAGAAAGAAAATTGTCTCAACCGGTGCTAAAGTTTACAGTGAAATATTTTATGATTCTAAGCAAATTATCTTATAAATCATATAAATCAGAGCATAATTCTAAAGCAATGACCCAAAAAATGCTAGTCGGGAAGTACATAAATCAAAAGATAGACATTGAAAAATTATTTTAGATGTAATACAAATAAATTCTGGGCTAGTGTTCTCAAGACTGAGATCAGGACTACTCCAGATTTATCAGGACAAAAACAGAACATGATCCTTCATATTTCTAATTAGAACCGTTTACGGAGATATATTGAGTAGAAAGAAAGTCGTGTACGATCTTTAAATACGAACTCCATAAACGATTGTATTGCTCCGTATATGATACGGTGAAGTAAGACACGTTAACAGGGCTGTATTTCAGCGTAAATACAGAATTTGTAATCCGACCGAATATACAATAGAGTATAGCAGCATTACGATATTTTTATGTTGTTTGGCGATATCGTATACCGCCAGTGATACTCACCATGTTATGACGACAGAGGAAGGCATAAAAACGGTTACGCACCGTAAAATGACGGTGATCTGTGATGGCTGATCCAGGATCGTAATATTGAACCATGTAATACGTCAATATACAACGATTTACTAGCGTACTGGTTGAATCTGGGAGTTATTTATTAATCTTTACATTTGATGATATATCTTTTATAGTTTCTGCTAAACGGACAAAATTTGATAATACTGAAACATCGTCATTAAGTAAGTTAATCAATTAGAATTTCTTATGTAAATTATGATTCTATTAGAAAAAAACAACATTGAATCATTAACTATTCAAAAATATTTAGAAATGGACATTTTTGATGATAAATCTGGTAAGTATGAAAGCTCTTTTTTCGTTTAATAATTAAAATATTTCAAGTTCTATCCACTGAAGAGCAATCGACAGAAAATCGTCAAACAGTTCTAAATGATGAACATGAAGCAGAAAAAATGAGATTTGAAATTGAACCTGCTTTGGAATTTCGTGGTCGCACGGCACATGACTTTAAACCGAAGAAAGCAGAAAGACGTAATGGAAAACCATCAGAAGTCAGAGCGCCACGTTATTTTGCTGACCAAAATAATCGTCATTATCTTAATTTATTGGTTTGATCTTATCTTATGCGACAAAACAAAACGGACTGTTTTTTTTTTCTAGATTTCGAACACATATCTACTAGCTGATCTTCTTGAAATTTGTCTTGAAATTTGTATCGTAACAAGAGAAATTCATGGTTATACATATATTCAGCCTTACTTCAAGTTTCAAGTACATCCAACAGATCCTGAATCGCCAAATCTCAATCCAAGATATATATTTTTGAATAGTACAACTGAATTAAAAGCATATTTACAAGAATTACAACAGTTGAAGTAATTAGCATTCTATGTAGAATCATGAGGAGCATAATATTATATTTTAGACTTCAATTAGTTGTTGTTATGCTTACAAATCCAGAATTAATGCAAAGTGAACAACCATTAAAAATTTTTGCACTACCAAAAAATAACGATCGTGAGTTAAAGGATTTCATAAACTGTTTTTTTCCAAGTATTTTGTCATTTTATAGATGGAAAATGCATTACAACAAAATATGATAATCATAAGGACTTTAAAAAGGCTTATTCTCTTCATGATCTTCGCTTTGCAATAACTTTATGGCGAAAAGAACCTGGTGAAAAAGTATTTCACCGCCATCCTGATAAACAATATATCAGTCAGATTTCAAAAGAAGATAAAAATGTAAATAAAAATATTATATTTAATCTGACTCATTTTTTTTCTTGTGTAGATGAAAGTTCGAGTAAATAACAAATAAAAATTTGTAGCCATTTATCAATCGTCAATTTCTGTTTCATATTACACTGCATGACATTCAGGATGAAGATTTATTCTATTGCTTTTTTTTTTATCATTTTCTGGTGAATAATTCAAGATATTTTGTTTTAATAAAAATATAATCTGAAACAAATCAATAAGTTATTTCAAATGTTAACTTCACACATATACAACAACTAAAGCATGACGACTTCAAGAGAAATAGAACTGGACCGAGATTTTTTCATGTTTTCTTACCCGGGCCTATGTAATAAAAACAACTGAGACCATAAATCTTTTTCATAATTACTAGTGTACCTTTTGTGTATTTATTTATCTTCAGCAGAGATGTTTGCAATGATTATAAATTGATGATAATAGCCCGTGGACAAAATAAAATGAGGGTCTCTAGACTTTCTCAATAGCCTTGCTAGTTTTCATAACGACACCTAAATGCATAAAATAAGCGTTATATTTTTTTCAAATTACAAAAATTTCTTCTTTTTGATAATTCTTTTCAATATTAAAATTTAGATATGAACAAAAGAATCTAAAAAGAACATCAATTTTATTATTATTCTTGCATTTTTAGTTTTTGTGATCAGGGAATTTGTTGGTGTCGTATTCTTTTCCTTTGCCATTTAAATATCTTTATATACACAATAGAATAATTTTTGCCATTCTTTACCCTATTCTTCTGCTAGATTTACAGATTATAATTATCAATTATTTTTAGATAAAAACATAATGCTGCTTATTCTCATTCTCAATGTCCTTTCTTTCTTTCTTGTTTTTTCTGTCCACGACTGCAAGTATGGGCTATAAAATTATAAACGCTATTGATATCGTCTTGATTTCTTTACTTAACTATACACTAGAAAATAATTTTGTTTCTCTCTCTTGTTCTTTTTTAAAATATTTAAAATAATATTTTGAAGGAAAATTCTATATTGCGTATTGTTTGATCTTCTTATGATCCTAAAGCACAGTTATTATTTGATAATCTTTCATTAATAAGAAAAAATATGGGTAAGCATTCAAGATCACAGAGCACTGATTGATATTTATACAATTCATTAATAATCGTATTTTTCTTTTTAAACAATAATTCAACCTGTTACATTATATAGAAGACATTGTAGAAATATCGAAATAATAAGATTCAATGTTAGATATTGATCGGCTATGTTTATAAGAAATAACATGTGATGCAAAAATCTTTGAACGAATGTCGAGCTCTACAGGTTCAGTCATTTTACTAGCTACAGAGCTACGCTTTTTTACTAGCAAGAGCACAAAAAACCACTACCAAAAAGTATATGTATAAAACCGAATATAGTCCCTCTTGGTACGTAGTTCAAAGCTTTTTCGGACACTTTCAACCATGGCTTGCAACATTTTTTGATCAAGTTCTTTTGCTCTTGGCTTGATCCTTCGAGTTAATGCATCCAAGTTTTCTGCTTCCCAATTATTTTCATATACTTTTCGTTTGAGTAGAGTCCAAATGGTGTCAATTAGACGGGCTTAAGGTAGGTTTAGTGGATTATTTTGGCGACAAATGAATGGAATCTATGGGCTTTTTTTTTATTTCAAACTGAATTTTGAAGGGTGTGGGTGTCCGTATAGTTATGAACTAAGATAAAACTCACACGAGGAGCTACACTCACACCTGTGGTGGGCGAGATTATATATTTATTTGCGTGTGGTAAAAGGGATTTGTTAAAATTTAATTTTCTAAATTTAAATAAAAAGTTCTGTATTAAAATACAGATTTTTCGATTAACTAGAAAGCGCAATGAAACACAAGGAACTTACAAGTCTATTGCGATTTAAAATCATGAAGACATCTGGATGATATACTATAGAAAAATAATTTTATTTATTTATGTTTTTGTTTTTTTGTACATTACCAAAGGCTACAGACAGTTATAAATAAATAAAAAAGCCTATTTGATTCTTTTCATGTAGTAATTAACACTGCATATTTATTGAATGATTTATTTTTGGCCTTTCTTTTCCTATAGAAATATTTCACTTTCTTCTCTAACGATGAAGATTTCTCTAGTGCTATTATTGGTCTTAGAAAGGTATGAAGATAAAATGACAGTCGTAGTTCTCATATTCATTATGTACGTCTATAACGGTTGTATGTTATGTACATACTTAAATTTTTATAGTTTTTTTTTAAATTTTAGTATGATTACTAATGCCGAGCACTCATCTAGTGAGTGATTCATGAGGACAGGCACTATCCTTGACTCGTTTTCAATACAAAAGTTTTTATATTCATAAAAGGGCGGTGTGGGGCAGGAAAATGGCATTAGTCTGCCATGTCTTTTCGTGAACTTTGATACAATATCTCTTGATTTTCAATTATCAGAGAGTCTGCTTTGTTTCATAATACTCTGAATTTGACATTTCGGCCAATTCAAAAATTTTCGAATCTCATAAACGGTACCACATTTCCATTTATTGAAAACTCCTTAGAATGATTGAGTATAATTTTTTTCCAACAATATTGTTGAAGAATATGAATTCTTTTCATTTCATAACTATTTGTGTTTTTTTTATCTTAATTTTTTTTAGCTAACAAGAAACTATTTCATTTCATTATCATCGCACATTTGTGTTAACTATAATAAGTTATATACAATTCTAGCGGACATGATGGAAGTGTACTTTTCATATGTTTATATGTATAATCTTTCGTAGCTATCATGGGATAGACGTGTGTCCAAATTGCATTGTTTTTTTGTTTTTGTTATGTTCGTATCGATGTTTTTGATTTTCTTTCTTACTCAAATCATTGGTCTATTGTTATTGATCTATTAGATCTACGAATTCGTGTAACGTAAAAGTTCAAAGTCTAGAGTTCACTAAGATTGTACGACAATCATAATGCTAGTAATATGGTTTTTAGCTTTGGTATTCTGGTCTTTTGAGGTCATCATATTTTCTGTTATAAAAACTATATAAAAAGGGGATTCGTGAAGCTTATGATTCATACATGAAAACAATGAATCAAATGAAAAATAAAGTTTTACAGCAACAGCTCAAGGTTAGTAATGGTTGATTCTGGTCCTAAACAAAAAAACATCATACTACTGATTTCGATACGAGTCCAAAAGAGGCAATGCTACGCTGTCCCTAATTAGAGTGAGTCCAATTGAGTTTCACAACACCTCTAGAATCCTAAAGTAGAAAAGTCACGAAGACTTAATCCATTCTTAGAATTTGTCAAGGTTCATGTTTTTATTGTTGTTTTACATATTTTGGATCTTGTGTCTTCAATCATTCTACAATGTAGACTACGGCATTTTATATACCATATGATGTTATAAGAGCTGTGCTAATTTCGATACTCGTAATTGTTATAGCTTATCTTTGGTTAATACGTCGAGCAGGACAACAACATCGAAACCATAATATACTATAATGTCAACAACGGAAATTGCCTATGTCACTTGTTGACATGACACTGATCGATAGATTCTTTTGGTTTCTTATTAGCATGTGATAATCAAACTTTGACTTTCCCATTTTGTCCTGTTTTTACAGATAATAAAACTGACCTATTTTTTTTCTTTTTAATATATTTGATATCGAGTATGTTACTATTTATTTTATTAGGTGTTCTACTAAATTCTAGAAAAAGAATTTAAAAAGAACTACAGCCATTAGTATCCAACCGTTGATTGAGATTTACGTATTGTGATTAGTCAAATATCATATATACATTGTCATAATTTGACGATCATTTAACACGAAAAGATTTTTGTTTGAATTCGACTATTGATTAACGCTTTGCATTAATCGAATTTATATTGATTTGATTGGCTATTGTTTGTATTCGCAAGATTTATACGATTTAAAACCCGCAGAATTGCCAGAAATTGACATATTGGTAACACACGAATTTCGTCTATTTACGTCAACGATGGTAACTTCATACAATGCTGCTGAAGTTTATCTATGAGAATAACAATTCGCCTATATTTGTCTATCAATCAAGTTCAATGAATAGCGGAATTCCACAATATTGCTTGAGATACACGTATTTTGTGTTTCTTAAATCTGAATTTTCCATATACTTATTGCTAGATATTCACATTTAAATAATGTGATGCACACTAAAGCATTCATGCACATCGATAGGACTGCTTTCAGGTGCGAAACATTTATATAGTGGCTCAGTGATAGTTTCATTGATATATTTATTTGAAATGATCTTTTGTGTTTTTGACTAATGAGCCATAATAAAACATTTCTTTTTAATACAACAGGATGGAGAAGAAAAACAAAAAAATATACTAAAAGAGTAAAGGTCTTTACGTATAGAAAATTTTTCGAGATACATAAAATATACGCAGTTCAAGAATCTAGAATGGAGAGTGTCTCGCACATTAATTCACACTTTTGATTTCGTCGAACTGCCGTCGGGTTTTCTTTCTCGACATAATTATTCTTCGTAAGTTTGTATTGTGTGTTACGATGATCTCGAGAATAGAGATTCAAGATCATATGAATGATATCAATTATCAGAAATACAAAAAGAGATTGCGTTCTTTTCTCAATAAGCCTGGCAAAAGAAGTCGAAATTATACGAATTGACTGAGTTCTTTTAGTAAACAATTTCGTCCTATCTACTTTTCAATCTGTGTTCGAGCTTGATCAACTAATTGATCGAACCATAACGTTTCTAGGTACATCAATATAATAAAAACAAAAATTAATTTCAGTAAAGTGTAATTATCCGTTCGAGAAAAACATTCTGTAGTCAATCATAGAAATGATTTGTTTGGTTTGTAAAGAGGCATCAATTTTCGATAATTGATATTGAAAGAATCTTTGCATCGTATTTCGAGTTGTATCCGGATGCTGCTATCTAGTTTCTTTACTGAAAATCTTTGTTTCATTTACTAAAATCTATTGTTAAATATAAAACTGAGCAATATTAATAAAAGGCACATAACAAAAAAAAAATATTACTATAATGTCCTTTGTAAACCTTCTTCGCATCGATATTTATATAAACTTAGACTTTGATTTAAATGAGGAAATTTAAGTTCTTCAAAACATAAACTTGTTGTAATATTACGTTCATTTTTAACAAATGGATATGAATTATGTAATTCTTTACATGGTACACGCCAAGTTTCTGTTGGACCACGATTATATCGATGTAAAAATGTATTTCCTTCACAAGCATAAAATACATTTGAACGACCTAATTTAATCATTGCTTTTAGTGATAAA